CTCCTAAACACACTCATCCCTTCTGGAACCGGAAGATCACGAGGGCAGGACCAGGCCTTGTGCTCACTGCTGAGCCTAGCACTTGATAGTAGCAAAGACACTTGTCACATGACCAAATGTCCTTTTTCCTCCTTCTTTGGAGAGGTCCCACTGCCTGACTGGACAAAAGAGGAGACCAAGGGTCTGAGGGGACCACTCCCATTTTCCAGGGCCCTGGCTTGCCACTTACCTGGCTCAGAGGCCCCATCACGGGGCCTGGCGGGCACTGGGCGGGGGCCCCGTGGGCGAGGGCCGGGCCGGGCCAGGGCCACAGGCCCCAGGAACTCGACGTAGGTGCCAGGGAAGTCACCTCGCTGCCGTGTGCGTTCATTGAGGCCGGGCATCCAGCCCACGCTCTGTGGGCAGCGCTCGCCACCCTCGGCCACGCCCAGTGCCTGCAAGGCCGCCCGGCTCACCACCAGCACGTCGCCAGGCAGCAGCTCCAGGTCCTCTGGCCGCTCCCGGCGGAACGGGTACAGCGCGCGGTACTGGAAGCCCTCAGGGCCCGCCATGGCCACGTGGGGGGGTGGGGTCTGGATGCTTAGGAGGCTGCTTGGAGTCCCACTGGCCCCATTGGCCAGAGCGGGGCCTGGGAGGGTCCGCTGGGTTGGCTTGGGGTGCTCGCACCTCTATCTCCAGCAGTCACAGGCGACCACGGGGGCCGCTCATGTCTCTCTTCAAATTATTCCATGACCCTGACAAGGGCCACTAGTCGCTGAGTCCACCATTCGTCAACTTGTGGGAGGGGGTTGGTGGCGGGGTCTCAGGTCACTGGGCCACTAAGTCCTCCATCGGCGGGTGGGGCTGGGGCAGGCCACTCATGCCGTCACACGGAGGGCCATCAGCACCCACGGCTGGCGGCTCTGCTGGCTGCGCCAGACGAGGGAGCCAAGGGAGCAGACTGCCACCATGCTGGGCCGGCCGAGGACGCCGACCTAGGGAGAGAGGGATAGGGCAGCGCTGGCCAGGCCGACTCCTCTCACCCCAACACAGACACGGGCCCAAATCCTGATGTGGAATTCCCTGAATCACACTGGTTGACTGTGGGGCCGGTCCCTCTCAGGGCCTCAGCTTCTCCATCTGTAAAATGGGTATGCTGCCAGCCTTCCCTTGGAGCTGCTGGGAGTGGAGCTCCCAAGAACCTGCCCCAGGTATAGTACATGCTCAGTAAACCGGTTTTTTTCTTTTTTTTTGAGATGGAGTTTGGCTCTATCGCCCAGGCTAGAGTGCAGTGGCGCCATCTCAGCTCATTGCAACCTCTGTCTCCCAGGTTCAGATGATTTTCCTGCGTCAGCCTCCTGAGTAGCTGGGATTACAGGCCGGCTAATTTCATACTTTTAATAGAGATGAGGTTTCTCCATGCTGGCAAGGCTAGTCTCAAACTCCTAACCTCAAGTGATCCACTCACCTTGGCCTTCCAGAATGCTGGGATTACAGGCATGAGCCACCTCCCCGTAATAGAGGTGGGGTCTTGCTATGTTGCCCAGGCTGGTCCTAAACTCCTGGGCTGCAGCGACCCTCCCGCCTTGACCTTCCAAAGTGTTGGGATTCCAGGTGTGAGCCACTGCACCCAGTAAGTAAACAAGCTTTTAATCACCCCTGTTACACATGGGGAAACTGAGGCTCAGAGCAGGGAGGTATCTAGGGCCTTGCGGTAGGCCAGGAGGAAGCCAGGACTTACACTCAGATCCTTGGACTCCAAGGCCCAGATGGATATGACGGGGAAGGAGCCAGGTGGCCAGACACCCAGGGCAGGGAGGATGAAATGGGGGCCCCTCCGGCTGCTTTGGGAGTCCCATGGAAGGGTTAGGCCAGCTGAACTAACAGGTAGGGAAGGAAGTCCAGGGAGAGGCTCCCCTGCACAAGCAAAGACCTAGCGGTAACTCCAAGCAAGTGGACCTCCTGTCCAGAGGGGGAGTGGGCAGGGGCAGGGAGCTCCAGCCTGGGGCCCAGAGTAAGTGCAAAATGCAGATGAGGGAGGCTGGGCGTGGTGGCTCACGCCTGTAATCCCAGCACTTTGGGAGGCCGAGATGGGCAGATCACCTAAGGTCAGGAGTTCCAGACCAGCCTAACACGGTGAAACCCCAACTCTACCAAAAATACAAAAATTAGCTGGGTGTGGTGGTGTGCGCCTGTTATATCAGCTACTTGGGAGGCTGAGGCAGGAGAATCGCTGGAACCTGGGAGGTGGAAGTTGCAGTGAGCCGAGATGCTCCAGCCTGGGCGGCAGAGCGGAGACTCTGTCTAAAAAAAAAAAAAAAAAAAAAAAAAAAAAAAATTGCAGACGGAGAGGTGCTCAAAAGGAGCCTTAGCCCCAGGGAGGGACAGGGAGCTAGGAGAAGGTGGGGGTACTACAGCTGAGAAGGAGGGAAGGCTGCCGGCTGCAGGGCGCCGATCATTCCCCAGGAGCCCTAGCCTGGGGAGGCAGAGATGGGCACACATTCCCAGCCTAGCCCCGCAGGTTCAGTCCTCCTGTGACGAAAGGGCTAGGGTGGAGGGCCGGACGTGCTTTTCTACAGAATGGGTCATCACCGTGGATAGGAAGGTGCCCTAGGGAGAGGGTACAGCGCATGCAAAGGCTTGGCAGCGGGTAAGGTGCCTGTCAAGGATTCAGGGTGGCTGTAAGGATAGGTGCCAGCCACCAAGGAGCCCGGGTGTCAGGAGGAGGCTCTGAGCACCCTTCAGCCATGGGGAGCCCCAAGAGGTGTCCGAGCAGGAAGAGGTGGCTCCACATACTCGGGTGCCCAACTTACCCACTCCCAGGACCCTGTTACCTTCGTTCTACAGGTGGGGAAACTGAGGACCCGGGAGGGGATGCCCAGGAAACCGCCTGCATCTGCCTGCCAGCCCGCCTCCGCGCCCCGGTGTGAGCGCCCCGGGAGCAGCGCTCCCCGAATACGGGAGGCGGGAGGGGCGGGGCAGGCAGGGCTGGGGGCTCCCCGGGTGAACGCAGGGCCTCCGCGCTCACACGGACGCGCACTCGGATCTGCGTGGACCCGGCCGCCCGGCCAGGCGACCGGAAGTGGGATCGACCCCCGGCTCTCTCGCACCCCATTCTGCCCCGCACAATGCCTGGGCGCCCCTCGATACTATTCGACGCCCCACTCCAGGCAGGGCCTCCCTGCATTTGGGGCCGCGGCTCCGGTCCGGTATCTTGAACGCACGGAGTCCCCCTCATTGTGCCCCGATCGTCCCGGGGAGGCTGCACCGCTGCGGAGACGAGCCCGAGACACCCCCTCCCTGCGGCCCCCCAGTTCCCGCGGGGCCCGACGCAGCCTGGCGCTTGCGTTCAGGCTTCCAGCGGGGCCCCGCACTGGCCCTGGGAGCCCCGCATTTAAGCACACTCCCAGCCCCTCTCGCCAAGAGGGCCAGTCAGGACTCACCTGGTCGCGGCCGCCACCGCCGCCGCAGCCGCCGTCACACCAAGCCGAGCCCGCCCCGTGGCTCCACCGCGGCCACCGTCGCCGCAGCCGCGGGATCCCCGCCTCCGCTGCCGCCACGGTTCCGAGCGGCCTGGCCCGCCCCCGGCGGAAATGCCCGAACGTATTCGGGCGGGGCGGGCGAAACAAGGCCGAGGCGGGGCCTGAGGGGAGGGGACACCCGAGTGTTTTCGGAAGTAGCCGAACGTAATCCCGCGGGACTGGCGGACTAGAGGGCGCCCGAGACAGCCGAGCATTTCCGGAGGTAGCCGAGCGTAATCGGGTCGGTGAGAGCGCCCAGGCTGGGCTCGGCTGGGCTTAAGAGGCCCCCGAGCGCTTCCGGAAGTGGCCGAACACTATCTCGGGCTGCTGACACAACTGAGGCTGATTCCCGAGACCGCTGAGCGTTTCAGGAAAGAGCCGAATGTGCTCAGTGCCCAATGGAGGCCATGGGAGCGCAGACCCAGAGGCGACCGCTAGCTTATGGAAATTGCTGAAGCACAGACTGTTCCGGGGAGCGAGTGAGGAGTTCTCAAGCTCAGCAAACAGGGTGGCAGTAGAGTGGGTAAAGGGCCTGCGGCAGAAAGCGGAGGTCCGAGAAAAGCCAGGATTGAAGGAGTTTCCATGGCAACCCAGAGCGTCCGGAAACAGTCAAAGATCTCGACCCTTATGGGCACGGGAATTTAAGAGGACTTGAGCCCAGATGCCGACTGTTTCCGGAAATAACCGAACGCACTCGGAAATGGGGACGTAGCCAAGAGATTTTGCAAGCCGGCTGAGCGCCCCGGAAGTAACGGATTGCTCTAGGGCTGGGCTGGGTTCGACTAGAGGGAATTTTATGGCACAGAAAGATACGACGATTTTATTTTATTTTATTTATTTACTTTGAGACGGAGTTGCGCTCTTGTTGCGCAGGCCGGAGTGCAATGGCGCCATCTCGGCTCACCGCAACTCCGCCTCCCGGGTCCAAACGATTCTCCTGCCTCAGCCTCCCGAGTAGCTGGGATTACAGGCATGCGCCACCACACCCGGCTAATTTTGTAGTTTTTAGTAGGACGGGGTTGCTGCACGTTGATCAGGTTGGTCTCGAACTCCCGACCTCAGGTGATGTGCCCGCCCCGGCCTCCCAAAGTGCTGGGATTACAGGCGTGAGCCACCGCACCCGGCTGCTTATTTATTTTATTAGCATAGCTCAGGGCGCCCAGGATCAAGGCTGCAGATGGTCGTGATCGAGCCACTGCCCTCCAGCCTGGGTTACAGAGCGAGACCTTGTCTCAGAAAACAAAAAAACCCCATAGCTCAGGGTCCCAGATGTCTGGAGGAAGCTTTTAAGGGCAGAACTATGATGGAGTACTCACAGGGAGAGGGTAGCAGAAGGCTGGTACTAACGGTGGCATCAGGAAGAATCTCAACTGCGAACTCCTATGCAGCCCTCAAAACCCTCTTGCAATGACTTCGACCCACAGGTCTATTTCATTCCGCTCCCCTCCCGACTCTTCCCTTCCTCCTTTCTCAGTCCCTCATAAATCCAGACGCTGGAGCTCATCTTTGTAAATACGGGCTTTTATTCACTGCCAGCTCCAGGATGGAAAGAGGGGGCGAATCATGCACAGCCTTGGTCTACCCTCCAACACTAAGGAGTGCTGCGCAGGGGACTCAGAAAGGGACGCAGAGTGGGCTGTTGGGTGTCTGGAAAACTCCCTCACCAGAGTGCCCAGTGGGTCACACTGCATCATGGGGGATGATTGGGTCTGGAGTCGGCTGCATCTGTCACCAGACCCTCCATTCAAGCTCCCTTGATGACAGTGCCCACAACGGGGTCTGGCTGATATGGTCTGCTTTGCCACGACTCCTGCAGGGTGATCGAGGGACAGGTCTCTGCCCCTCGCTGGGGTCTCAGCTGTTTTGTCTGTAAAACGGAGGTGATGACGCCACCTCCAGCCTTCTCAAGGCTGGCTGAGGGAGAAGCCACGAGTAAAAGCGTTTGGTACACAGTAGGTGCCTAATAAACAGTCAATGGGATTAGTCTTGTAAACACAAGGAAACTGAGGCACAGAGTGGGAAAGCCATTTTCCCAGAGCCACACAGTGAAGCTGAAATTGAAACTTGAGCCTCGACTGGGTTTTCTGACTTGAACTTCATCCCAGAGAGGCTCTGACACAGGGAGGGAACCCCTAGCAGGTGCTTCAGACACATCACGGTCAAGGGCTCGCTCTGCGGGGCCTCAAACACACGGCATCTTGTCCAGGATAGATGGGACAAGGCGAGGCCGAGGCGGAGCCCAAGGAGAGGGGACGCCGAGTGTTTCCGGAAGTAGCCGAACATAGTCCTGCGGGACTGGCGGAATAGAGGATGCCCCGGGACGCCGAGCATTTCTGGAGGCTGCCTTGGCAGTGCCGGGTGAGAACTGCAACTTCCTGCATCAGTGCCCACCTGGGGAGCGGATGACCCCTCTGCCCAGATCTGGTGAACACCTATTTATCCATCAAAGCCCCAGCTCCCACATCCCTCCTGCAGGCTGAAGCTAGTAGGATTAGAGGCAGACTCTAGCAGGGACGGTGGGAAGTGGCCTTCAGAGTCCAGTCCATCGTTGGGATTACACTGTTTTGTGGGTGAGGGGAATCGTTCACGGACCCGTACAGGTGAGTTCGGCTCCATCCCCTCAACGGGTGGGTCTTGGGAGGGGAGTGAGACTTGGTAACACAAAATACGTAAAAACTACAGAAAAACTAGAAAACACAAACACAGATGACTTGTCCAAAGTGCTTCCTTCTCAGCCCAGCGGGCAAGGCCTGCAAACAGGGTCCCAGGTGCCTGGGACAAGACCTGGCAGCCGCCTTCAAGGGGTGGCTCAGTCCGATATCGCTTATAAAGTAATAAATTAGGCCAGGCGCGGCGGCTCACACCTGTAATCCCAGCACTTCTGGAGGCCGCGGCAGGCGAATCACGAGGTCAGGAGTTCCAGAGCAGCCTGGCCAGCATGGTGAAAACCCGCCTCTACTAAAAATACAAAAAAATTAGCCTGGCATGGTGGCACGTGCCTGTAATCTCAGCTACTCAGGAGGCTGAGGCAGGAGAATCTCTTGAACCTGGGAGGCGGAGGTTGCAGTGAGCCGAGATCGCGCCACTGCACTCCAGCCTGGGTGACAGAGTGAGACCCAGTCTCAAAAAAATAAAAAAAAATAAAAAAAAATAAATTAGTTGCAGGGATTTGCTGCTATTTACAAAGCCACCCTTGTCCCCCATTCCTGCCCCGTCCGGCCCCCTGATTGACACCAGAACACAAGGGAAGCGTGTCTCCACCTTCCAGCAAGGACCGAGATGGCTTCTCGCCTTCCGGGTGTCAGACTGGTGGCTCAGGCTCCATCCAGGCATGACTTTACGGAAAAAAAAACATTGCACAAAAAAACGCGTGACTTTGAGGCCAGGGAGAGACCAGGCAGGGGGGTCAGTCTCTCCCAGTAGGCCCGAGAGCTACTGGCACGGCCTCCTCGCCCTCCACGGCGATCTGTGGCACCGGGGCGGGCAGCGCAGTGGCCTCCTCCTGCGGCTCATCAAAGCTAACCTCCTGCACGGCCTCCTGCTTCTTGAAGGAGTCTCGGCGCTCGGACAGGTGCAGCCGCCGCATCACCACGAGCTCGGCCTCCGGCCCGCGGCCGCGCCGCCCCTCCCCATCCAGCCGCTCCCCTGTGCCCAGCTTGTCAGCGGACTGGCCCCGGCGCAGCCGCGGGGATCGGGCAGGCGCGGGCGGGTGCCCTGGCAGGGGCGAGGGCGAGCGCGGCGGGGGCGCGGAGATGGGCGGGCAGGCCAGCGGGGAGGGCGGGATGCTGCTCGTGGACTTGCGGCGGCCAGTCTTGGGGCGGGGTGGCCCCAGCTTGGCGGCCAGGCCGTGCAGGGAGCTGGGGCGGGTGTGGCCGGCAGCAGCTGGGGAGGCAGGGCTGCTGGAGCTCGGGGAGACGCTGGGTGGGGACGCGGTGGTGTCTGCGGGTGATAAGGGTGGGTCAGGGCTGCCGGCCTCAATGTCCCCAGCCCGGAGGTGGAGTTGTGAGACTCACGAACACTGCTAAAGCCCTATCCTTCCCTGTGGCCACCCAGCATGCCTGGCTTTTGTTGTTTGTTTGTGAGACAGGGTCTTGCTCTGTCCCCAGGCTGGAGTGCACTGGCTCAGTCATAGCCTCAACCTCTTGGGTTCAAGCGATCCTCCCACCTCAGCCTCCTGAGTAGCTGGGACCACAGGTGTGCACCACCACACCCACCTAATTTTTAAATATTTTGTACAGATAGGGTCTCTCAGTGTTGCCCAGGCTGGTCTCAAACTCCTGGGCTCCAGTGATCCTCCCGCCTTGGCCTCCCAAAGTGTTGGGATTACAGGCCCGAGCCTCCGAGCCCAGCCTCCACTCAGACTCCCCACCCCTCCTGTCTAGCCCCATTTGTTCATGATGTTTCCTCTGCGGGCACCTCCTTTGCTGGCACCTGCACGAGGGTCTGAGTACCCCCGGATTCCCTTCTAGACCAGGAGCCCGGAAGATGTTCCTTCCTGTCGTCACTTTCACTTTCCCTAAGGTCGCATCATTCCATACCCCAGACTGCTCACTCCCGCCCGGGGCCCACCAGCCCCTGCCCCCGGGGTAGCCGGCGGCTGTGGGTGCACCTACCTGCTGGTACCTCAGGGGCTGGACTGCGGCAGGGAGTGGTGGGGCTGGGGGAGAGGCTGTGGGTGGGCGAGCCGGGGAGGCTCTCGCTGGATGACAGCGAGTGGTGGAGCCCAGAGGAGAAGCTGCGGCTGGTGTGCAGCACGGACGTCTGCTTGGAGATCTTCTTGAAGAGTGACTTCCGCCTGGGGTAAGAGAACCGGGAGCCTCGGAACTCCTGCTGCTGGCGGGCGCGGGGGCTCACGCCTGTAACCCCAGGACTTTCGGAGGCCAAGGCGGGCGGATCATTTAAGGTCAGGAGTTCGAGACCAGCCTGGCCAACATGGCGAAACGCCATCTCTACTGAAAATACACAAATCAGCTGGGCGTGGTGGTGGGCGCCTGTCATCCCAGCTACCTGGGGGCCTGAGGCAGGAAAGCTGCTTGAACCCGGGAGGTGGAGGTTGCAGTGAGCTGAGATCGAGCCACTGCACTGCAGCCTGGGCGACAGAGCAAGACTCCGTTTCAAAAAAAAAAAAAGGAAAAAAAGAACCCCTGTCCCCACCACGTGTCCCCACGGTCCGCCCCCTCTGTACCGCTCCCTGGTGGCCACCGCCGCGCACCGGTCCTGGGTCTCCCGCCGCCGGCTCCGCTTGCTCCTGCGCGCCATGCGGCCCTTGGCCACGTTCTTCCGGGCGGGGCCCACCTTGATGGACGTGTTCTCTAGGGCAGTGGTCCGCAGGGATATCTTGTTGGCGCTCTGTGGGAGGAGGGTGAGGGGTTGCCTCTGTGCCCTCGCAGGGCCCAGCACTTGCCCGGCAGCTGTTATGTCCCCTTCACTCCGGGCACCAGCTGGGACCCCCCACCCTGACATCATTCATCCACCCAACCAGTGACCTACCCAACAAATCCTGCCAAACAGTGCAGGGAGCACCAGCCCTCCTGCCGGGACCCCTCACCCGACGTCAGCGCCCATCGAGCCCTGCCCTCTTCGCTCTCCATGCCCCCCGGGGTCTGTCACCCACCTACCTGGTATCCATCCATTAATCACCCCAGGATCTCCCATCCCCCAATCACCCACCTAATGGCCCAGGAGTCATCAGGCCAAAGACACATGCCCACAGTCTGTCTGTTCAATGAGCCACCCACAACAGCTGCCCACATGGGAGCCTTCACTCTTTTCTTTTTTTGAGGTGTTGTCTTGCTCTGTCACCCAGGCTGGAGTGCAGTGGCGCGGTCTCGGCTCACTGCAACCTCCGCCTCCCAGGTTCAAGGGATTTTCCTGCCTCAGCCTCTGAGTAGCTGGATGACAGGTACCTGCCACCACCCCCAGCTAAGTTTTGTGTTTTTAGTAGATTCAGGGTTTCACCATGTTGGCCAGGCTGGTCTCGAACTCCTGACCTTGTGATCCACCCGCCTCAGCCTCCCAAAGTGCTGGGATTACAGGTGTGAGCCATCGCAGCTGGCCCTTCACTCTTTTTTACAACCAGGGTCTCCCTCTGTCCCCCAGGCTGGAGTGCAGTGTGGCATCACGGCTCACTATGGCCTCCACCTCCTGGGCCCAAACAGTCCTCCCACCTCAGCCTCCCAAGTAGCTGGGACTACAGGCACATGCCACCAAGCCCAGCTAACTTTATTTTGAAATTTTTTGTAGAGATGGGGTCTCACTATGCTGCCCAGGCTGGTCTCAAAGTCCTGAGCTCAAGCGATCCTCTCGCCTTGGCCTCCCAAAGTGCTGGGAAGAGAGGTGCGAGCCACGGTGCCCGGCCCTTCCTCCTTTCTTGAGGCCATCTCCTACCTCCAGGTCTCAGGCAAGAGGGAGGAAAAGATGTGAGGGTACCCAGGGAGAAGGGAGGGCTTCCTGGAGGAGGAGCTCTGAGGGGTGATACTGGGGCTGAAGAAGGATGTGTATTCTGGGCAGAAGGAGGAGGGCATGCAGGGCCTGGAGTTGACGGTGGATGTGGGATTGTGTGTCTCAACAGGGAGAAGCAGGGGAACCCAGAGCTGTGGCCAGGGGATGCCGGGAGCCCTGACGGTGGGCAGTGGCCGGGGGACACACCTTCAGCAGCAGCTCCACGACGTCCATGTGCACCAGCCCCAGCACTGACTCCCCATTGATGTGGGTGATGAGGTCCCCGGCTCGCAGGCCCGCCTCGTGGGCGGGGCTTCCATCCTCCACACTCTGGGGGCAGACGGGAACAGTGGGCTCAGTGGCCTGGGCCCCACATCTGGAGACCCCAGCTCAGGCTGGGTCTGCTGTGGGACCCCAGCAAACCGCTGCCTTTTGTGCTGCCTCAGTTTCCCTGATCCTGGGGAACTCCTACTCACCCATCAAAGCCCCAGCTCCTCTGCCCCCTCCTCTAGAAAGGCTTCTCTGTCTGTTTAGGGAGCAACCAATAGGAAGGGCATGCCCCGAAGTGGGACTGATACCGCTGGGCTGGGGGAGGGAGGACAACATGCCTAGCGCGCTCCCCTACGGAGCTGGGCGGTTAACGTCACTTGGGATCTGTTAGCTTCCATCCATCCCTGTCTCGCTCATCTGACCTCCTCCCCGCCAACTGACAGGGACCGCGATGAACTCGGTGGCACCAGCTGTGTCCCCGAATCCTGCCATACTCCAAAATGCAGCTCTGAGAAGGGACTTGACCGGGCGGGGTCAGACGAGAAGCCGGGTCCCTGCCTTCCCGCCTGGTGCTCACCCAGACCACATGGTGCACGGTGTAGACGTCACTGTCGCCCATGTAGACGCGGATGGCCCGCAGGCTGAAGCCGTACTTCTTGCCGGAGCTGTGGATGACGATGGGGGGCCGGAGGCTGCCACACACGGGGGACGGGTCTCGGCTCGGCGAGGAGTCGCGGGACGACGGGTTTGAGGACAGAGAGCGTGGGGACAGGGGGCTCATGAGGGGGCCACCGCTGCCGTCATCTGCAGAGGGCCAGGGAGGGGGTCACTCACTCCCTCGCAGGTCCCCCGTGGGGCCCCCTCTTTCCCACCGTGATGACCACCCTGGTCACTTTGCTATTGCTCCAGTGTCCCAAGCATCATCGCCCCTCCAGGCCTTTGCACGTGCGGTGCCCTCCACCGGGAACACTGTCCCCCAGCTCTCCCTGGGTCTCCTCCGGCTCCCCTCTCCCGGGCTCAGTCCCAGCCTCCCCACCTCAGGAAAGGCCTTCGCCTTGTTGGTGACAAGGGGTGCGGACAGACAGAGATGAGAACGGGCCGTAAGCGTTACCTGCCGTGATGATGAGGGACAGGGCAGAGACAGAGGCCGACTTGGGCACACGGCCCCCGCCACTGCCGCCGCTGGAGGAGGCTCGGGACTTCTCAGGGGCTGGCTCTCTCGAGGCCCCAAGGCGGCGGCCCCGGCCGGCATCCAGAGGCCTCGGCGTGGAGTGCCTGGCGCCGATGCTGTTGCTCCGTAGACGGGCATGGCTGAGGGCAGCTGTGTCGGCTAGGAGGTCAGCAGGATCAGCCGGGCGCCCCTCAAACTCACCACGTGGCCCCTCTAAGGGGAAGGGGAAGGCCCTTCCTCCCTGGTCGCTATTTACACAGTCCAGCCTCCTGGCCTTTGCTCATGCAGTTCCCTCTTCCTGCACTCCCTTCCCAGATTACTCTCTATGCAAAAGTCTTCAAGTCTCCTCCTCCAGGAAGCCTTCCTCCATACCCATTTAGACCCTTAGTTCCCCCATCTTGGGAGCTAGGGGTCCCATCCTGACTGTATGAAGGTGGGGGCGGGGAGAATTACCCTAGACTGCGGTTCCTTGGGGGTTGGAGGTCTCTCTAAGAACCTGGCTTCTCTTTTTTTTTTTTTTTTTTT